ACATATATAATGAGACAAGGAAATACAGTTTATGCAAATAAACTGCATGACTGCTATAAAGAACAGCTACTTGCTCTCCAAGATTTCATTTACAACTATAAACTTTGTTTTTTTTCCCAGCAGCTGATGGATTAGGGCAGCAGAGAATGCCCTTGGGAGGCAAGAAAGGGGAATTACCCTTAATGGACATGAGAATAGAAAAGGAAAATATAAAGGAGATGTAATAAGTTGAGGAAAATTTTGATTTAGGCCTAGTCATCAAGGGGAATGAGAATAAGGCAGAGAATGCATGGAAGTGGTATCTGTAGGTAAAGATAATTTATTCTGACGAATATGCTGTAAGATTGAGAAATGTCAGTTTTTGAGACTGTGATATATATTATCTATTAAGAAGACATCACCAAAATGTTCATATTAAAGCTGCATGCATGTGAGCACACTTAGGATTCTATCAAGAATTTAGGCTTGCACCTTAGCTTTGAGTAGAAAAACTGTTAAGACGTGGGGCGCCTGGGTGGCTCAGTCGTTAAGCGGCTGCCTTCGGCTCAGGTCAAGCGGCTGCCTTCGGCTCAGGTCATGATCCCAGGGTCCTGGGGTCGAGCCCCGCATCGGGCTCCCTGCTCAGCGGAGAGCCTGCTTCTCCCTCCCCCTCTGCCTGCCGCTCTGCCTATTTGTGCTCTCTCTCTAGCTCTCTGTCAAACAAAATAATTTTTAAATAAAATCTTTAAAAAAAAAAACAACTGTTAAGACGTGAGGGTACAGCCCGGTCACGAGTGCCGTAGCATCTTTTCTGCTAAGACTTACTGAAAAGTCACGCGCTCTAGCTTCAGAGATGACATCGTAGAGCGAGAAAGGAAAACCACATTTCCTAACTTCACCTTACTAAATTCTACGAAAGAGTCTGACTTACTAACAGACCGGACATGTACAGAACCATCTATGCTAAAAGCCCTATGGGACTTAGGAGCCAGCTCTGTTGAGCATCCTAATCATGGACAGAAATCTACCCAATGACAGAAATCTCTGACCATGGAGCTGAGGAAAGGTAGTGGAAGGATACAGTTTGCTCCCCTACCTTTCAATTCCTGTCAAGATCAGACTGGCAGGACTGTGGAGAACCACATTTTTCTACCTATAGAAAAGCACCTTTGTCCATTACTGCACCACAGTGTGACATTTCCTTAAACATATAAAGCATATATTACCCTACAGAAACGAGCCTACGAAAATTAGCTCTGCACTCAGTTGCTGGCCCATACTAGGTGCCTCATAAATCGCAACCGGTCCATAGCATGAAAAAAAAGGATGTTTGCTCAAATTTTCTCCGCCTGACCGCTCCTTCCTAAATATATCTTCATCCTACCCAACTTTTCCATGTGACTAAAACTTCTATTCTCTCCTTCACTCAATGCACAGAACTGGAGGCTTAGTGGTCAAGAGGGCGGAGCTGGAGTCAGTCCCTGGCTTTGAACACTAGCTCTTCCTTGTACTGGTTGTGTGACTTGAGCAAGTTATGTGTGTACGTGTTATCTAAGCCTTGCCTGTAAATGGGGTAATGATAGTCCCGACACTTCAGTGAGAATTAAGAGATAATTACAGGATTAGCATAGTGACTGGCAAATGAATATTCAAAAAATATAATTCATTTCAGTGATCATTATTATCACCCGCTATGACTATTTACTATTATTATTTCTGGATCAAAATAACAAGCAATGAGTTTTATATGATTAATGTGACATATTAGGAAAGTTCAACCCAAAGCTTTTATTCATTGTTCCCTTTATGCCTGAAACACCCTGGATATTAACTTTCAGCTGAGGAAATGAAAAACGTGTGCAAAACACAAACACATGACTAAAAATTCACAGAGAAAGAAATCTGGCTTTTATCGTAGATTTTTGTATATTATAAAGGCAGAAGGAACCATTGCAGGTTTCCTTAAACTGATAGAACAATGAGCTGGCACTGGATTATACTAGAAAAGAAAAAATAACCAGATCAGATTGGGAAAGCCTACCTTAGAAGAAGCAAATATAATTTAAAGATATGAGTTTCAACTTGAGATATTAACACAGAGGGATTTATACTACATAGACCCTTACAGTTCAGATCCATATTCTATCATTTTATAGAAACAAATGAGTCTGGGACCACTGCAGTACACCTCAAAATATTAATGAAAAAACACCTACAGAGAAAGAAATGCATTGGGGAGCCATCAAAGTATGTTTTAGCTAATTGATGAAATTAAAATATGAAATAAAGACAATTTGTTCTTCCCATTCTCCTTTCAACTTTCTCACTATATTCTGGCATTAGAGTATACAAAATTATATACTTCCACATTGAAAATAATTACATTTCTACCTGCCTCTTATTTTCTTTTTGGCTAAATTAATATATCCCATTAATATGCTCCAGGAAACTCTAGCTGCATGACAATCATGCTAAATTTGTTTTTAACGTTCTTCCTCTACTTACTTGTGCAGCCATGCGAAGGGAAGTGTATATTAAAAACCCTTCACTCATTATTTACTTGCTTGTTAATTTACTTGGGAATTAAATTCTGTTTTCATAACATTTCTTCATCTGGAAATATACTATCTCATATTAACCCTACCTCCAGAGATTGATGTACTTTATTATGAAGAAATAAACTGAAAGATATTTTAGGATGCTATAATCCTACAGGTCATATTAAACATATTGGCCATCACTGCATTATACATATTTTAAAGTACTGGTCATGGACATGGAGCTCTAGCCAATGAGACATGAGAGAAACGAGCTTTTGCTGCACTGGTCTGCCCCATCAGATCTCATAGTCTGAACAAGACTATAATCTTGTGAGAGCCTACCAAAATTATAAAAATTCTGAATCAGTGAAACTCTGACTTAATGTCATTTTTAGTCATATATAACCAACCTGGACATAGAGAAATTCCTTTTTTATAGCAGTGCTAAAATTCAAGATAGATTTTTAAAATGACAAATCAAATAGATAACCACTGTATAACATAATCAAACAAGAGAATTAATATGTTCTTTATCCAGTAAAGACAAAAATCTGCCTTGCTGGATCCAATCAATACTTCAAAAAAAAATCAGATAATAAAGATTCTTTGTCAGTTGAGTAAAACAATTTAATTTAAAATAATTTCATGGGGGCGCCTGGGTGGCTCAGTCATTAGGCGTCTGCCTTCGGCTCAGGTCGTGATCCCGGGGTCCTGGGATCGGGCCCCGTATCGGGCTCCCTGCTCGGCGGGGAGTCTTTTTCTCCTTCTCCCACTCCCCCTGCTTGTGTTCCTGCTCTCACTATCTCTTTCTCTCTGTCAAATAAATAAATAAAATCTTAAAAAAAAATAATAATTTCATGGACTTCTTGATTTTGTATAATACATATATTAGTTTTCTATTGCTGCTGTAACAAATGACTCCAAAATAAATGTCTCTCTAAGCTAAAATTGAGGTTTGCAGGTCTGTGGTCCTCCTTGGAGGTTCTAAAAGAGAATCCCATTGGCTTGCCTTTTCCAGTTTCTAGAGGCTGTGAGCATTCCCTGACTCATGCCTCCTTCTTCACCTGCTGCTATTATTATTATTAACTCTTATCGCAATGAAAATGTAAACATTTTAAAAATGGTTTAAATTTGGATCAGATGATTACACCTTCTCTCAACAGAGACATGTCAATTTACCCAGCCTCTGATTTCTTTCCATTCATGATTGCCCAAATTTGACACCAGTCAATTGCTTTGCTACCTTATCCTTAAGTTTATCACAACCCAGTACACTATAGACACTACAATGAAAGAAGTAGTAAATTCCATTAAGGCAATATAACATATACTATTATTATATTTCATATATGGTATGGTGATACATCTCAGACTACAATAAAACCTTCAAAAGGAAATACTATTTCACAAACACTGACTTCATATACAAATTTTTCAGGAAGAGGGATATTGGAAGAATAGACTATTAGTGCTAACATGGATTTTGGAGATCCACTTGCCATTTAGGAAAGATATAAAGGAAAGTTGGCCCACAGATCTTTACCCAACTTGCCTGAGGTCAGCTGGCTAATCTGAGACAGAGCTGACTCCTAATAATAGTGATTATTTTTCCAGTAATTATGATGCTGTTCACCATACACATAAAACAGAGTCAGCTAGGACTGTCATCACTTTAATACATTGTAAATCAACAGCTTTGCTAATTTACACCTCAAAGGATTGTATCATTCTGTCTTAGGACAATACTTAGCCTAAGTCAAGGACTGAATCCTACTCAGACCTTGTGTAAATGATACAAAATGTATAAAAGGTTACATAATAAGGAGAAACTTAGTATGTAAGAAGGAGAAACTGTCAGGTTTACAATAAAAAAAGGAAGGATGATATAAGCCTAAACTAATATTGCAGATAATTTCCATAAGTCAAAAAACCCTGAAGATACTGAACTTTTTAATGATAAAAACACTGCTTGTTTTTGGTGGATTAGAATGAGAAGAGTACAGCACGTTTTAAATGGATTTTCTGGGAGAAATAAAAATGGTTTAGAATCAGTACAGTGTGAGAAACAGCATCATGTCAAGAGTTTGACATATTTATTTATTTAAAGATTTTATTTTTATGTAATCTCTACCCTCAATGTGGGGCTCGAACTCACAACCCTGAGAATCTCAAGCTCCACTGACTGAGCCAGCCAGGTGCCCCAAGAATCTGACATACTTAGAAATTTTGTCAGTTTCCCCAAATATTTTAATATCTGTTTAAAAAAATATATGGTAAACATACCTATAGCCTTAACCTAATAAACTACAAATATTACTCTGATTTTTAAACTAACTTCTTTTAAATACTAAATATATATATAGTTTCCTTCAGACAGTAGGATCGAATTCCATTTTCTAAAGTTACAAGGGAAAGCCTCTTAAGTTATCAACATAACGTTGGTTTTTTTGGTATCATAAAGGAGAATTAAAATCAACTTACTTGATGTAATAGGGCACTTTATTATGTGAAATGGATCTTTGCCATGGCAGCTGGACTGAAGCTGAAGAAACAAAGGGAGGTTATTGGAAACACTGCTCACCCAAAAGCCTTATGCCCTAGTGCAAAACAACTGAACACATTTTATAGCCAATTCAATGAGAACTACTCTGGTTTTTGAGCTGGATTCCTATAATTATGAAATCTGCTAGGCTAAACAAACAGTGGCTTCTTAAAGATTCATTTGAAGCAAGGGAAGAAACAACACAGGTTCAATTTCAAATGCCAACTCTAACTAATTGAACCTGTTGCTAAAAATACTTTTCAAAATCAAGTTTTATTGTTTATAATCACCACAATTTAAAACTTAGTGCTATCTGGAAAATGGGCTGCATATATTTTTTGATTAAGCTAAAACCAAAATTAATTTTACCTGGTATATCCAGATTATAAACTAGATTTCACAAGACTGAATTTTCCAGATCATTAATAACGTGCTTTACTTTGCTTCACAGGAATAACTATCTAGGACAGATGGCATTTAAACAAACTCATTTGTATTAATCTTAAAAAGGAAAGATTAAGATAAACACAGGCAAAGGGTTGTTAAAAAAACAAACAAACAAGGTAATTATGTGGATAAAAGAATCCCAAATACTTACTTTCATCTGAAATGCACAGAAAATACAGTTTCCTACTTTTACATCAGATATCACTATGACTGAGATTTTATGTTTTGTTTTAGGTATTTATTTTTGTTGAGGTACTGATTTCTTACAATTCCAGTTATTCCTTATTTATAAAAATAGATTATTCCTATATAATTAGTTGAAGACTTATTTAAGAAGAGTTAAACATGTAAAGCTGGAGCTACTAAGGAATTTTGCTAAATAAACTAATAAACAAGCAATTAAAACACATCTTTGCAATTATCACTAGGCTCTCATAGAGTTGTCATAAATGCTTTTTTTCTGAATTTCATGTCATAATAATATCTTATAAAAATATAGCATTCTAAACTTTGCAAAAAGCCTTTTCAAATATATCTATTTATAAGGAAGTCAACAAATCCATATTAGAGCCCTATCTGATACATAAGGAACTAGATACTCAGAAGTGAAATAACTTGCCCCATAAAGAAATGGCCGAGCTCAGACATGATCTCAAGATTTCCGACCACTAGTTCAGCAATTTTTCTGTTCAACAATTCTTCTCTTTATAACATGTGAGTGCTCCCTTCTGCAACTATGTCCATGAAAATATAAAAGGGCAATGAAAATGTGGAAGTAGGTATAATAAATTTCTCATTAGAGCCAACCTCATTTCAGTTTTGGCACCAGGCTAATAGGTCAGTTTATTTTGTGTTCAAACTAAACAGACTCTTTTATAACCATGGCTGAAGTCCAAGAAATATTATAAAGCCAATGATTCCAAGCAGAAAGAGATAACAATTACTCAATTTATTAATTGGGATTTTGTTTACACTCATGTTAACCATTGTTTTGATTTGAAAAACTCTGACCTCCTTGGACAATCAGGGCCAGACAATAACAGGCCACATGCTTGAGTTTCACAAAGTGATTGTGAATTTTACCATGTTTTCCTTCCTAAAGAACACGAGTTGGATTTTTATCATGAAAGAATGGTTGCTAGGAGAAAGTGTAGAGTTTCATCAATACTAATAGATAACTAATCCTTAGAACTGTAAGTAGAGTCACAATTATTTGTTAAATTCCTCTTTAATTTGGCCTTAGCACATAGCTTAAATTAAGTTTAAGAAATCTGAAGTAGTTCATACCTAATGAGGAGACTGCAAACTTATTTACTTTATCAATAATGATGGCATCCCAACTTTAGAAATGCATCCTCGCACCCAGTATATTCCAGGAAGGACTACAATCACTCAAAGATAGGCTATCTAAGGGCTCAGGTGTGCGAAACAGAAAACATGTGTGCGTGGGGGGAGGGGAGGAAGGGGGAGAGAAGGGGGGAGAGCATGAGGACTGGAGGACAGGAGGGGCAGGAAATGACTAACTCAGATTCTTGAAACTGTGAAAACAGAAAAGCCTGACCTTGAATTGAGGTAAAGCAGATTATCAACCATGACAAAAGATTAAGGGAAAATACAAATGTAATCAATTTAGTTGGAAGACATGGTATTACTTCAGTTTTCTCTATTATTATAGATACAAAGAAGTTATCATAATTGGGAAATAAGATGTGCCTTAAGTTTTAAACTTCATTTATATTGAAGTAAACAAACTGTTTTCTGGCATATGTTTGCCAGGACAAATAAAAGGAAAGAAATTAATAGTGAAAGCATCAGTGCCAAGAACTGTGCTAGGTGCTCTGAAACTCACTATGCTTTCTCACTTAATTTTCAAGGCGATCAGAAAAACTAAGTATTATTATAGTAATTTTAAGGTAAAGAAATTAACTTTCAGGAATCTACAGGTCTGGCAGACTTAATATTTTAATCTTAATTTGGATGACTCTGAATCCTACATTCTTTAGTTTCCCCAGCAGTGAACGATAAAGTAGGAGCTCAAATTACTTATATGAGATCTCATAAACAGTCCGTAAAATTAAAAATTTCAGTTGGAGAATTCTACATAAAAATCTACATATGTGGTTTGGCTACATCTGCAATACTTGACCAGAAGAAAAGCTAAGTATGATCACAGTGAACCTAATAAACAGAAATCTCGGATCCATGGGGAGTTATTTGTTTTTTTACTGCTAAAGATACAGGTACATTTTAAATTAATAAACACTTTTTAAGAGGAAAAGCTAATTAGAAATCTTAAAATGTAAAAATGATTTTTTATTGTGAAAAAGTTCATAACCTTTGTTTATGATACAGCAATGATGATATGAGGCTACGTTAATTATTATAGCCGATGGTCCATTGAAAAACCATAGCTAAAGAGAAATTCAGTTTTGCTCCACTTCGGAGACTTATCAATTGTGACCAGATTATTACAACTAATAACCAATAAACAATATTGTAATTAATCTTAATATTGCTTTTTGTACATTTACCTAATATAAGTAAATATATTCGCAACAAAGAATATGGCTCCTTGAGGCAAAGTGAAAGAATATGCTCATTCGTTCAATTAATGAGAACAGTCAAGTTTATTAGTACTTACTAGAAAGAAAATGCTGAGAGGATGGCCCAAAATCTCTATGGGCTTCCTGAAGCTGTTTAAGGCGATCATCCACAGAAACCTGCACATACACATGCAAGAAATAATTTGATTTGAAAACAATGACTTTAATAACATACTTGATTTAAGTATTTTTTCTATTTAAATTCAATTATCTAACATATAGTACATCATTAGTTTCTGATGGAGAGTTCAATAATTTATCAGCTGCGTATAACACCCACTGCTCCTCACATCACATGCCCTCCTTAATGCCCATCACCCAGTTACCCCATCCCCCACCCACCTCCCCTCCAGCAACCCTGTTTACTAAATGATGCTACTGCCCAAGATATGATTGCTTGTATAGACTCCTTCTCTATCTCTGGAATCAAAGTACTGGGATTAAAATAGACTTCTTCTGGTACCAACTGACAGCAAACAGTGCCAGGCACTCTTCTAAGCAGTTTATACAAATTAACTCTTTTAACCCTCACAATAACCATATTGGGTAAGTATTATTTATTATTATCACCACTTTACAGATGAAGAAATTGGGACACAAAGAGGTGTCCAAGGACAGAAAGTTAGTACATGAGAGTACTAGTATCCAGACGCAGCTAATCTGGTGCCAGAAGCTATTGCTTTCCTGTTACTCTACGTTGCCTTGAAAGCAGTAAAGCTCAAAAGCATCTAAAGTCGAGTTGTGGCTGTGTGGCCAGTGGCCACTCACCTCCCTTCTGTAAGGAAGGTGGTAAAAAGTGCCACAGGAAGTGAATGAAGAAGAAGTCTCAAATACTCCCAGGGAAAAAACAGATAGATGATGGTAGACAGCTGGACAGACAGAAAGGTAGATGACAGAGAGATCGAATTAGACGATGGATCAATAGATAAGGGTGGATGGAGAGCACAAAGATATAGGAGTATGTAATCTCTTATTTGCCTCCACGTTTGTGTCCAATCATCTCGACTTGAGGGTATTCAAGTGTATAGCAGCCGATTAGTATACTTTCTGAATTGGTCCTCACAACTTCCCCCGTTAGCTCTCTACATTATGAAAATGCAGAATTGGTCCACCGAGAAACTAAATGCAAATTAGAACGACTGCACACAGCCTACTGACACTTCCATTTTCTTTTTCCTTGTCCTGGTCTCTGTAGTTCGAGTCAGCTGTTCCACACAGATTGTCCATCTTATTTTCAGCTGCCTTTAAAAGAAATGTGTGTATCTCTGGCTCACTGGACAGCTCTAGTTTCTCTTGCTTAGCTATTTAAATTGCATTAGCAAGTGCTTTGTTCATTAAAGCCAAAAAAGCACTCAAATGCCACACTCTATGTTCAGGAGAAGAGAAGATGCTAGTCCTGAAATGGAGTGACATGGCTGTCAGCAGATTCCTTCCGGTCTTACTCAACCAGCAACTAACATCTGCGCTCTAGCAGCTACAAAGCTCAGAGATAAGGATAAGAGAATACATATCCTCTTCCAAGCATAATGTATTCCCTGACTTCTAATCTTTGGAGATAGTGATAACACGAGCAGAAGGCGATCAAGATGGACCACAGGAATACCTACATGAAGGCAATGAATTAGGGAAATGGAGCAGAAGGAAAAAAAGAGAAAGTCAAACACTTCTGTGTTCCACTCACTAGAAAAGCACATATGAGTTTAACAGATCCTGCTTTACTAATCCCAGGTTATTAACACTCTTTTCAAATATAGAAAAGACTGTTTAATATTATGCACTCATTTCTTAAATCTTCATATTGATGAAGAACATATGAACCATTGGGTATTCGATGTTTGAGTTAATTCAGGAAACCTAGTATGCTATAAAATATTATAGCTTTAAAATAAAATGCTTTTGTGTACCACCTCCAATCGCACATTTATCTCATTAAATACAGTATTTTAGGCCTAAAATATAGAGAGAAATGCGTAAGAATTATTTTTTTAATATTCCACTTAAATTATCCTGCTAGTTTTCAGGGAAAAAATGATTATTTACAACTCCAGGGAACTGGCCATTGAACATGACAAAGCTCTGAAAAGACTAAACCTAAAACTACTGACTGGCAAGTATGGTGACTTGTAAATGCTGATATCTAGTAATACTCAAAAGGGTTCTTCTGGGTTTGGTTCTATTAAATCTGGGATGAGCAAGTATTATCTAGAGTCACTAAAACAACTTAGACCTAAGAGCTAAAGGTAAAAACACCACAATAGTATAAATGTGCTAGCTGGAAAGAATGAACAAGATACCTAAATAGCAAACAGTGGAAGAAAGATGGAGATTTCTTAATTTTGCAAAAGGAAAAAAAATAAATACATGATTAAAGTAAGAGAAAGGACTCCTTCATGAGCCACTATGAGAAAATGTTTCTGTGACCTATCATAGATCCCAATTACTATGGTTTATCTGACCCTTTGCAGTTTTCTACAAATATCATATGAATAGTACATCATAAAATTACATTAAAACCTCTATTCATAAATAAATGAGGCCTCGGGGTTCAAGATATGGAAAGACAAATACTTGGTGATATTACATGCTACAAATCCATTATCAACTACAACTAGTAAAGAAGGAGGAAATGATGGTGTGCAGTAGAATAATCAGGCAGGGTTTAAGGACCAACTGTGTAAAGTTGGATCACGAAGAGGGATAAACTAATACCTGCAGAAGTTTCCATCGCATATTAAGATCATCTAGCTGGCGAGACATCTTCAGAGATGGATGCAGGTCAAGTGGAGACAGCTGACTGGATAAATCATTCACTGTTTTAACTTTTAAGTTGATTGGTGCAATTTCTTCTCTAAATGCCTGGAAGAATAAAAAGAAAAACAATGACTATGGAAAAGAATATAACAGAAGGTAGTATTTTGAACCTTTCTTCAAAGAAAATGGCAAGACCAGCTGAGACGCCACTGACAACAGTTGTGCACTCAATGACACCTCAGCTCAGGTCTTCAGCAATGGGGACCGCCAGCCAGAGTCATCCTTTGTAACCTGGAGAATCTAAATAGCTGCACAAAGAGAAAAATCATAATGCAAACTCATTGAAATGATTATGTATTTCCTGCAAATCTACCATTTTATGTAATTTCATCTGGAAAATGTTTGCCATTATTGTCCACTTTACTAATTTCTAGTCTTGTTTCTATTTTTCATTTCCTTTCATATTTTCCTTCTTTTTTTCCTATGGCTACCTTACTATTCTTTCATCGGATGCAACAATTTGATTTGAACACATTACCATTTAAAATTAAGTGAGAAAGTGGCCAGTAAGAACAACTTTCCTAACCACAAAACCTATTACTATTATAAAAGATTTTATTTATTTGACAGAGAGAGAGAGAGCAAGAGCAGGAACACAAGCAAGGGGAGTGGGAGAGGGAGAAGCAGGCTTCCCGCAGAGCAGGGAGCCCCACGCGGGGCTCGATCCCAGGACCCTGGGATCATGACCTGAGCCGAAGGCAGACGCGAAACGACTGAGCCACCCAGGCACCCCTACAGAAATACCTATTACTATTATATACTCTAGAGGTAAGTTTTGATCCTTTCAAAAACACTATGATCACGTGGTTAGAGGAGGGAAGAAAGAGGTACATGAGGCTTAGTGACAGATGCCACCTCTGGGCACAGGACAGAGAGATAGTACAGGTGGGGGTAGAGGATGTATGTGAAGAGGGAAAGAGAAAAGCAAAAGATATCTGGGGCCAGTGACAATAATATATCCTATAAGAGCAAACAGAATAATGAAAACACTAAGCTTTCTCCCTTCACCAGATAATTCCCCCTGACTCTACGTTCATGTTCCCTTTTTCCAACAAAGTCTTTGCCTAGATCCCACTCATGTTCCAAAAGAGTCAACTCAGGTGCCCTACGCATTCCATTTCAGGGAAGACTTCCTTCAGCATTCTTGGCTAGAGGCTCCACTACGTGCTCCCAGCATTCTCTCTGCCCTCTTGAATCCAGTCCGGACTTTCAGCCAGCACACCTTCAGCCACACAAATGGGGTTTTATAGTGAGGGCCATTCTGATTGTTTGGTGCCATACAAGCGAGTTGTTATATATTTTAAATATCATTCCTTATCAGAGCTCTTACTACATCCATATTCTTGATGTCCCTCAAGAAGAATAGAAGCTTCTTGAGAACAGACACTCTCCAGTATTTCACAAAGTTTGCCAGACAAGAGGGGAGAATTCACTTCTATTGACGAAGGCCCACGAAAATGGTATCTGAGGCAAGATTAAGCCAACAGACAATTGGGAACAGAACTGAGATACTAAAAGAGAACAGTATATGGTTATTTCTTTGGTATGTCACAAAATCAGAGTAAATCATGTGCCAAACTGAACCGATACGTATTAGGTGTTGTGAACACACAGTTAGCACTAGCCCTCAAGTTATATCGTTTCTACCATCCCACCCCTTAAGAGACAGGAATATGTCTACCAGCCTCCTTTCTTCTCCCTTTTCACCATGCCAAGTTTAGTTAATGAAATATTATATATCAGAGTGCTTTGAAGACCATGAACTTTCACTGGAACACTGCAGTATTAACTCGGCTTCCTCACTATGTTCATAAAAAGAAAGCCTCTTTTTAGGTACTTGGAAAAAAAGGCCGCATGATCTTTCTGGCTCCACTCAATGTCTAAGGATACCTTGCTTCCTTTGCTTGCATCCCACAAACTATTTCCCTCATCCTATTTACTGCAGCAAATCTCTCCTTGTTGATGAGATTGTGTTTATCTCCTTGTAAGCCCTACCTATCCTGAATGGTCTGTCATTGCCTGCCTTTAAAAGCCTTCCTCTTCCTCTCTTTAAATAATGATGGGGCTAAGTTATACCCAAAGCTCACCCCCAGACTATTTCCTCAGTACCTTGCAGAAAACACCAAACAAAAATACCATTTTAAAAGAGGTGTATTTTTTTTTCTTTTAGAATGTAAGCTCCTCAAGAGCAGGGACAATGTTTTCTGTATGTTCTATTGTGCCTAGTACACTGTAAATGCTCAATAAATATTGATGATGGGAGGCAAAAAAAAAAAAAGAAAGAAAGCCTCTTTAACCACTTCCTTACTTCCTTCTCTCTTCCAAAACCAGTTACCCTATATAATTCCCCCTTAGATAATATGGATAGGCTAAAAATAATCATTATGGTTGATAAAATCAAAATAGTATTACAAATATAACTTTACTTCAAAAAGGAAATTAATTTTAGGTAAATCAGAGAGTATGTTTTAGTGTTTCAAAATTCTGGAACATGCTCAAAAGCCACAAGAAGAAACTCGAGATGGAAAGTCAGAAGAACAGACCTAGAGCCCAGAGTCAGCGTGAAAACCCCACACAAAGGAGGGAGCAGTGAGCAAATGACATTTGAAACAGTGAACATGGAAGTCGATGTGTGTAAAGTAAGAAACATCGCCAGACCCTGAAGGTGCCAACATTTCAAAATCAGGCAGAAGGAGGGAAGCTCACAAAGGCATCTGAGTTGCTGGAAAGTGGAAAGAAAAGGTTTTCAGAGTTGTGATCGTTTTTCTCCATGGCTGTAGATGCTGGTCTTTCATGGATGACAGAATATGTGCACAGACAGACCCACAAATACGGTTCAGTGAGAAAAGTAGTTATATGATAACAGGCGTTCTAGGTCTAAAGAATGAAACCACTAACATGGAAGCATGGGACAGAGAGAAGTAGGATGGGGGGGAAGGGAATTTTTCAGTCTGGACCTGGAAGAGACCTGAGCTCCTTCAGATTCAGTTTAAGAATAAAGACAGAACTTGAATCCTTCCAGGTTTCCTCAATTGTATTTTAACATTACACTTTAATATTCTCTCCGAGGTGACTTGGGAGGACTCAAGAATTTCAATCAGCTTTTAAAATCAATGTCTTTGTGTTTTGTAAGTATCAAAGATTAAAAAATGAAAGGCTAGAAAGTATTCTTAGGTTTCTATTAACTTTAAATAATAACAGCTTTATTTTAAAAGATGGGAAAAGTTTTCCAAAATTAGATTGTAACTTCAAGACAGATTTTAAAACTCTTACAGAACATCAAGGAGTTTTAATTGTTCTTCTGTAAAAATAATGTTTTTCTCTTATAAGCCACAGGTGAAAATATTAAAAGACCTTTGACCAACAAGGCCGTTGGGTTTTGTTTTTGTGGGTGTTTTAGGCAGTGAGGAATCTTTCTAATAAAAAAAATTATCTTTTGCTTTTTAAGAGCTTTCAAATTAAGGACCTTGAAGTAAAGCAAATTTTAAAATGGTTTCCGAGCTGCTGTGTGTTCTAGTATAAAGAACCAATTTATCATGTTTGGCTGCACTTTCCTATAGGAGAATAAAAGTCTATGTGGTCTTCTTGGTATAAAAACAGGAACATCTGCTAACATTAAAGGTGCTGACGGGCAGTCTGCTGGCAGATGTGGGGGGGAAAAAAAGCCTTCTCCTGTTGGAAGGTGTGTATTCTGCAAAGAAGAATTATTAAGGATAATTTTAGGGCATTAAACTTATTTGATTGGCCCTCAAAGCTTTTGTTTTTCAGTTGCCTTGACATATTTAATAATATTTAGCAATAATCACAACTTACTTTCATCTGCCAACAGCTTCAATGGGATTTGGCATATACTTTAGAGTACATGTGAAACATCCCAGACTTTGAATCCATTTTATTTGGTTTAATGAGATGTGGGTTTTTATTTTTTTTTTCTTAATAAGATGTGAAAATATTTTAATCCACAGTTTATTCCTTTCTCTTAAATATTAATTGTGTTTTTCCTGGCTTTCCACTTTAGCAGAGATTTGAACAAAAGGATTTGGATGCAGAGGTGGGTAATTTCGTTAATCAGATGGGAATAACAACTCCCAAACTTTTAGGTCTTTAACAAGCCCATATACAACTTTCCATTTTTCCTTCAACACTAATCATCCTGCATTAAAAACTGATACTTTCAAATTCAAATGGGTAAATTCTTGCTCCAACCAAGAGGCATTTTTGTAGTCCAAAAAAACATACTGCTTATGAACCACTGAATTAAAGATTTCTAGTGTTTAAAAAACATCTTTTAAATTGCAAGAAGTAGGGATGCCTGGGTGGCTCAGTCAGTTAAGCGTCTGCCTTCGGCTCAGGTCATGATCCCAGGGTCCTGGAATCGAGTCCCACATCAGGCTCCTTGCTCATCGGGGAGTCTGCTTCTCCCTCTGCCTGCCACTTCCCCTGGTTGTGCTCTCTCTCTCTCTCTCTGACAAATAAATAAAATCTTTGAAAAAAAAAATTGCAAGAAGTGTGTAACTTCCAAAGAACTTTTACTAAAAGGCTTTATTTTCAGTTATTTGAAACTCAGATTCATCCGTGGAAATGGTTTTCAGAATGCCAGAGCTAGCTGTAGGAAGAAGCCTACTTAAGTCACAGAGTCCCGCATATTTATGTATATTTATAATGAAAGGTGGCAGACACCAACACTCTTTTAGTGAAATTTCTTTAAGTTTAAAATTTAGTACATAACTTTTAAAGTTTTGAATTCCAATAGCTGATAAAAGTTGTGCTTAATTACATTAGTATGAGTGAGGTCTCTACAATGACAGAGAAGAGCAAGAAAGAAACCATGAAAACTCTACCACTTACCAGCTGTGTGGGCTTGAGCAATATCTGCATTTTCACCATTTGTAACATGGGCATAATAATACCTATCTCGTTGGGTTGGTGTGAGGATTAAAAGAGGTATCCATGTAAACTGGCTACGAACATTTCTTGGCACACAGTAAGCCTCAATAAATGTTAGCCATTATTATTCCTATATCTACACACACATATATTTACTTATATAATTTGCCTGCATATTCATTTCATTTCCTAGACCCTTTCTCCTTCCTTCTCAGCCACATGCATAAACAAAAGGAAAATGTCATCCAATGTCTGTGCACAAAAGATACGTTTTTTTGCAATAAAAATCACATTCATGATATTGATATTATCAGTCTAACCACCTTCTGATGTTTCATTGGTTTATTCTTTGATTTGACTCATGACTACCTAATATATAGTTTGCTATACTACCACAAACCCGACTACTATGTCTCTTATTGCCTAAATTCTATTAAATTTTTTCTGGATATGTTCTAGAATGTAGGGCCCAAACGGGTCTAGACCACAGATCTATCATTCTTAATTTTGGGCAATTCTTGACCACAAACAAAATTTATAGTTAAACTAATCCTTCCATAACCTACTCAGTGAGAGAAAATTTGAACATAAGAGTCCCCAATAAAACAGTATGTTTTTGATTAAATCTCTAAATCCAACTACCAATTTACAGGAAATACAGAGCAGAGAAGAACCTGCCCAACTGCATGATGTGGATGCCATTCTGCAAAACCCAGGCTGTAAGAAATACTATAAAACAAACAATTCAGTTTCTTAAACAAATACATTGTAAAGAAAACATAAAAGGGATAGAGGGGAAATCTAGGGATTAAAAAGGACTTTACATTATTATTTTTTTTTAAAGTAGTAAAGTGTTTAGGGACACAGAGCTGGGTAAAAAAAAGGATAAAGAAAAATAAAAGTAAATTATTGTGAAAGTCTCATTAGCTGTTATTTTGGTGGGGGGTGGTTCTGATGATGAAGGGCATAGGGACAACATCTGTCATGACTGGAAAAATCTCTCTATCCTGATTTCGGTCAAGTTGTAACAGGGTTGGCTTCATAAAATGCCTTATAATGGTTTTTATATGTGACTTTCTTTGTGTTAGATTCAACAATAAAACATTTCTTAAAATCCTTTATCAGAGGCAGTGAGGCTGACCATGGTTTTTTCGATGTGGTCCTGCAGGGAATCGATGAGTAAGTCTCCCACAGGCTTCCAGCCATTGCGCACAGCCTCCGCCTCCTTCATATCAACGTCCAGGTCATCCATGGCGCCCTGCAGGTCTCTGAGCTTCTCCAGTGCCTTGTCCACTTGCTTTTGCCAATTGCTAGTGACCACATTTAGACTTTCCCACTTCTCTTTGACTTCAGAGGACTGTTTGCGCATGGCCTTGGCAATCTTTTGGGCTCTCTCCTCAGGAGTCAATTCTGTGATTTAAAAAAAAAAAAAAGAATATTTGGAAGGCTGATCACTAGCCAAATGAGAATATTACCTTTTGAAGGGTTTGCTACCAGGTTCATGGATACACAGTTTACACGAGCCAGGGGAAGAAAAAATTTCTCTATACTCTCCTCACCCGTCACCAATTAATTCCCTGCTACTTCTCAGGAGAAGAACATAGTAGCAAGTGGCCCTTTGGTTTTGGCGACTTTTGAATTTTAATATATTTACAGACCTTGAAATGTAACACAATCCCTCAAAAAATAAAAGTTTTCCTTTAACATAAACTCAGTTCTATAAAATCCAAAGACAGTCTTTCATTTCATTGTCCTCAATCAAAATGGGAAGTATAATTAGGAGAGAAATAGCTTTCAGTTACGAGGAAAGACTCTGAGAAAATAAGATTAATTGATCATGTTCCTTAAAATAATAACTGAAGACAAATAATCTATCTTAGATACTTCATCACTGCTGAGTCTGTTTGGCAGTTCATCTTTAATACAGGACACCTTCTGTAGCCCAGACGTGTAGCATGTCCACAAACATTTCAACAGGAAGACAGCAAGATTTTAAGGATCATCCCAAATATTTCATACAGCAAAACAGCTTCCAGAATATCTGAAATAAAGTTAGACTTTCAGACAGGAAAGGGTAGGCATCATGAAGGTCCTGCAGGGTCAGGAAGAAAGAGTAAGAGTCCCGAAGACAAGCAAAAGATACAGACAGAAATGAAAGTCAAGTTCAAACCCAACTGTCAGAAACACAGAGATGAGAAGCTGACATGACAAGGGCAGAGGAATTTGATGAACATAAAGCCGGTTAGATAGGTCTCCAGCTAAACACTGCTGGGCCTCAGTTCCCTCATTGCCCAAGGAGACCCCCTTTCCTATCTTGCTGCTTTGATGGTTGTCCCGCTTGTTCACTCAAAACAGAGGCCAGTCAGAAACACAATCAAGGTAAGCTGTAGATGAATTTAAGACAGAAATATTTACTCTTCTTTGTGATAACATCCCATCTTTTAGTATCAATCACATCAGCAACTCCACTTCACTTCAAAATATTTCAAATCGTTGGTAAAAATGAACTGAAGTTCACTGAACTTCCTGGTAAAATGACTTCACGGTCAGATGATCTAAATTAGAGCGAGCTCTCCTAAACCGTAACTTTCATCTTCTAAATAAATTCGTCCCCCTGTCTGTCTTTCTTTGGTATTATTTAAAAGTCAAGTTGAAGGGGACAGAACACATATTTTTATCTAACTAAATTTCCAGAAAATTCTAGACATCAATATTTAGACTTGAAAACAGCTGTAATAAATGTCTGGGAACCAAACGGGCCTTGAAGAGTTTAGCAGCCACAGAACTCAGTGTCGCACTGCTCAAGTGCTAAAGGCTACAGAGAGTCCTGCATAATCCCTTGGCAACTGAACTGATTACAGGGAGATTCTGTGTCATGATAGGTAGATAGACTGAACCCACCAGTAAGGGAGAAATAAGGAGAACAAGTGAAGTAAACAGCCTCTAGGAATGCTTCAGCTGGGATACAGTTCAGGACAACAGTACTGGAGGAAAGCTACATCATTAGGCAAACCTTATTTAAATCCTTAACTAGAAAGTGAGAAATACAGAACACTTGTAGGTAATATATTTTATATAAACATAAAATTTTTATATTTTTTTTTATATGCCTTATTTATATATAGGCATTTATATAATATAAAGTATATAAAATAAATACATGAGAGGGGGGAGGGTCAGAGGGAGAAGCAGTCTCCCTGCCGAGCAGGGAGCCCGATGCGGGACTCGATCCCGGGACTCCAGGATCATGACCTGAGCCGAAGGCAGTCGCTTAACCAATTGAGCCACCCAAGCGCCCGAGAAAAAAAAAATCATGCTTAATAGCCCCATGAGAAAGGGAGTGGTAATTTTTATGATGGCCGCACCTGTGTTTGTTAGTAAGCTGCTTGGGCTTTTTTCAAAGATCTATTTTAAGCACTCGCGTTTCCCTGGCTTTTGTAAAAGAAAAAGATACAGTACTCATTTCTGAACAGACAACTTAATTATGATGATTTTTCTCCCTGGATAAAGTAAAAACTGTTTCTCAGTCAGTCATTGAATAACCTGGCAGGGAGACACAGTGTCTTTTTGTCCTGTGACAAAACACCTGACATGGCTGGGACATTTTTGTCTTCACTTAATGTAAAATCTTTTGATGGAGCAGTCCTTTTGCGGTATTTATTATATGATCCCTACTCAAGCAGATCCTCAGAAGAAAAGAAAAGCTCTATGTTCAATTCCCCATCTGTTTGCCAGAAAGGATACATATTAACTGATCACGGAGTCAGAAGAAAAGTGCCTCCTATTACAGTACAAATCTCAGTTTAATGCATACTTTAAATCAGGAACAGAGAGAGGTGCAAAACCAAACAAAAACTTTCCAGAACGTTTGTGAAACAGGAAATAAGCAGCAACCTATAAAATACCATGTTATGACAATGTGGGGTAAGAGAATAGAAAAACAAAATAAAAAACAGCAAAAAAAAAAAAGGCATAAAAGAAGAAAACAATAAAGGGATATAATTACATTTTAAAAATCCTCTAGTTATTTGAAAATCAAAGGACAAAGTTTCCTTCAAAATTTCTGAAGCGATGTTTTGCCATAAATTTTAAGACCCTCATGCAGGAGTGGAGAATCTTTTGGACCCAGTGGTTCAGAATTCAGGGGACATATTAGAAACCCCTCTGAGAGTCTGTTTGCTGGTTGGTGTTTAAATACTGATCCCCAGAGGCCCTACTCCCAAATATTAAGAGATTCAGATTTAGTTGGTCAATGGTGAAGGGCAGCGTGGATATATTTTAAGAGCTCCCCAGATGACTGTAACATGTTGCCAGGACGGAGCACCGCCAGCTTCTTGGCTTACAAATTGATTTCTCTGGTCCCTGCTGCTGAAGCTGGAGTACTTCCACTCCGGTGAGTTGTGTGAGTTGTGTCATTCCCACGCAACAGCAGGGCCACTAAATACCGAAGGCCCCGGGAGCAAATGAAGCTCAGAGATAAGAGGGTAATCTAATTTACATTTGAAAAGGCAGTAATAGAGGCTAATCTGAGAGAGCGAGGAAACAGCAGGATAAAACCAAATAAATTTACTGACAATTTTCAGACCCAAAGAGCTTTTTCTGTCACTTTCCTATTCCCTGTAAAATGTGTGTGTATGTGTGTGTGTGTGCATATGTGTCCTCTGCAGATTTTTTTGAGAGGCAGCACTCTGTTTCTCCATTCTCCTCAGGACTTCCCATTTAACTGACCAAACATTGAGGGTGCAATTATATTTACTTTCTATATTTA